AATATGCGTTTTTGCTGGCTGTAGCAGCGCTATAGCGCTGCACAGCAAAAACGCATAAAAACAAAATCTCGCCACGCCGCTTGTTTTTGATCTTACCGAAACCTATAAAACTATTTATTGATACAAAAATTGGATCTGATGGATTGACAAAAGGCTCAAACAAAATTCGAACCAAAATAATAAACAGAATCAAGCAAAACTTCAGTTGATAGACTCAATAAATTTTACCTCGACAAACTCCTGCAAGCTATCACGCATAATTTCATCCACAATTCGCTTCTCAGCTGGTGTCAGCGCTACCACTGGCCGATTGCTTTGTGGAGATGAAGCTTGTGATGGTGATGCCTGCTGCTGCTGCGATGATTTCTCCGGTGGTGGTGGTGAATGTGTTGTCAGGTCGTTCAGTTTCGGCTGAACAGCAGCAACTGGAGAGTATGAAGCTATGCTAGGCCCGGCTTTAAAAGGTGATGAGGTTGTAAAACCAGGATTTTTCGGAACTGAGGATGAAGACTGCGAAAGCTGCTCTGTGATCATTGCTGTTCCCTCGGTAGCTACTGTCGCTGGTGCTTTTGTTTTTGCTGTTGGCTCTGTAGCGGGATCCAATGATCCATTAAGTGCGAGATTAAGTGCCGAAGTTGCCTCATTTTGGGCTTCTGCGTTACCGATTTCAGAATCGTATTTTTGCTGCGTCAAAAGACATTCACCATTTTGATAATTTTCAGGTCTGAAAAAATAACTCGGCGCATTTCGTGAAGACTTGGTATTTTTAGGAAATCGGAGAAAGAGTAAATTAGCAAATAGGTATTTCGCTTTTTAGTTAATATCCACGAAGACTGCATATGACGAATAAACATCAAAAATACTGCCAATTCTTTACCTAAATACGGCACGAATTCCACTGTGTGACTAAACTAGTACAAAAATATCTCAAGCTGTAACTGGAAGGACTCATAATGCTCATAATGTGTACGAACATTGCGTTGTTACTGGTTGTCGGTAGCAGCTCAGAAGTTGAATGACTTTTGCACAGAGCTGAAGGCTGGTCAGTGCGTTCTGCAGAAGCCTCACAGTGCTTCGCTGTCTCGACCCCAAGACAGCACTGGCTCGTGTTTTCATCGGCTATTGCCCGCTCGAGCTCCAACCGGATCTAAATGAAGTTGCTGGAAAATTTCGCACCTCCAGAATTCAAACACTACTCAAAGGCACGCCGGTTGCAAGGCTAAAAGCACTGTGTCGACCCATTTCATGACAAAATAGATCATTGGTAATCGGTAAATTGTGTGGACGAGTTTGTAGCTTTGTTAGCTATGTCGTCAAAAAATAACCATTTACCGACTTGCAGCGTTTCGTAAATACTTTCCACATGTTTTTCTCGCAATTCGGCCTGTGTGCAAATAAATTTTTCACGATAATATTGCTAGCACCCACAGTCATTTTTGATAACATGACACAAGCACATTACAAGGAAACTGTCACAGTGTCCAAGCGTTGCGACATCTTCGCATCCTCGCAAGCTCAGCCGCAGCTAATTCACGGATAAATAACAGCACGGGATCGAGTCTTGCGAGATAAAGCGCTTGCTACCAGCGGTGATGATGTCTCTCAGACTAATTTGAAAATGTTGAGCAAATTT